GGGCCTATGCAATAATTTGTAGCTGGCTCCTGCCAGACTGAAGCTTGCAAGCTGCACACACAGCCATAGAATTGGAAGGGACCCCGAGGGTATTCTAGTCTTCTTAATAATAAAAATTAAAGGCTCTCTCATCCACCTGGAGATTCAGTCCCTCTCCCTGTGACCTGGAGTGAGCCAGGCACACCTGGAGACTTCAAATCAGCCCTGGGGATCTGGCTGGCAGCCCCAGGGAAGATCAAGTGAGTCCAACGGCACTGGCTAAGAGGTGTTTGCAGCCTAAATATGTGCAGCTGAAATAAACGCATGTTCTACCACTGCCTATACAGTGGGCAGCCTCTCCAGACCAATCCAAAGGTCAGCACCTAAATGTTGTCTACAGAGTGTGACTGGAAATCGATCTGCATATGCACGGCTTGTTGGCTCTACACGGTACGTCACGTCAACAAGCAGAAGGCACAACCGGTGGGCCTAGCCCCTCTTCGACTACCAGGACTTGACAACAAATCATTCCCTCTGTTTCCAGTGTTCAGGCTGGGAGCCCCATTGCTGATGGGGCCAAAACAGCACCAGCCATCCACAAGCGAAGTGTCAGGCCATCCCGAGGCTAGAAGTTATGAGAGAAATATTTGAGGAAAACAGCCTAGGAGGGTTTCATAATCCAAAACATCTGGAGGGGCACCAAATTGGGGGAGGCAGATTTAATATATATATATGAACAGCCTCCAAAAAAGGACAAACTCCCCTTGCCTGTGATGTTCAGGGCTTGATGGAACAAGCTTTTAATCAGTAACAAGTTTGCAGAATCTGCTAATGAGTATGGGTGGCTTACTTCATGAAACTTATCTAAATCACACAAGAGAAAGACTGTTGCCATATAACCGCATCTGTTTCAGCCAGGCAGCCTGCAGGGCATTCAAAGCAACAGTACTGTACTGGTAAAGTTTCTGCTGTTGTGAGTGGCAGGTGGGGGGGAAACTCGCTGCAAATTTGTATCACCTGGAGTGTCAGGCATTTCCAATCATCAAGGCTCATGTAAAAGGAATGTGGCTCCCCATCAACACCTGAGGAAGAAGGCCTATAGCTCAGGGGTCAGCATCAGATTTGCATGCAGAAGGTCCCAGGTTCAATCCCTGACATCTCTAGGTCAGGCTGGGAGAGAACCCATGGCCTGCCTGAAGCCCTGGAGGGCTGCTGCCAGTCAGTGCAGACAGTACTGAGTTAGATGGGCCAATTGTCTGTGGAAGGCAGCTTTTGATACTCCTACCATTACCGGTGTAATGAATGCTTGGGTTTATGCAGGGAGAAGCTTTCCTCTGTTCGAGAAAGGACATTGCAGTTGAAGAAAAAAATCACCACTGAGAAAACCCTATCACAGCCCTCCACTGAAAAGAAAGATGCATATTCCCTATTCATAGACACACACACATGCAAGGAAATGACAGATGAAAATATGCTTATACTATACAATGCAGGGACATAGCAGGTGGCTGCTTTGTGTCAAGTCAGACCATTGGTCCATCTACCCTGATTGGCAGCAGCTCTCTGGGGTTACAGACAGGGAGTCTCCACTAGCCCTACCTGAAGATGCTGGAGACGGAACCTGGGACCTTATAAGTGGCTCCACCACTGAGTTATGGCCCTTTAACTACTTAGTTTAAAGCCCCAACTCAAGAATATCCAGGCAAGTCCAGATGCTCAAAGACTGCAGAATATCAGCAGGAAATGAAAGTAGAATGCCAAGTTGCTCAAGAACTGGGAGACAGGGCTTTCAGCATGGAGCTCTGCGAAAACATTGCTTTCTCTTCCTCTCCGACAGCAGGAGGCATCCCCCGTGTCAAAGCATATCATCCCTTAACAATATTCTTTTGGGGGGGTTACGACTCCCATCACATCTCATGCCGATGGGATTCCAAGAAATTGAGGGGAGGGGGCAGAACACAGGTTCCCCGCCCTTGCTTTAGATACTGCTGGGGGTGGGTTCCCTATGCAAGGCCTGCCCCAGCCCCATAACTGTGCCTTAACTTAGAGAGGCAAGTTCCCACTGCCCCCAAGAGAACTGATTTCAAACTTGCAGTGTCAACCATCCCACACACACTTTAGCAACTGTGCTAGAAGGAACACCGTGCTTATTATGTTATGTTGATGTAATTAGCGCTCTGCGAAGAGAAATCCACATGGCCAGGGCACTTGAAGTCCTTCCCCTCTAAGCAGTGGGTTGAGGGGCTAAGATCTGGAGGATCCTGAAGTCTTCCATGTACCAACTCCCACCTTGATGAGCAAAAAGCTTACTTCTCTTGTACCCCACATGCCGCGGCTGGGAAAAGGCTAGGCAATAATAATAAGGCATGTGTGCCCCCCACCCCCAAGAGCATTCCAGAGCCATTCATTCCATCTGGAGGAACTCTCCTCCCTGCTACTGCTGGTAATGAGAAACAGAAAGGACCCGAGAGAAACCTCCACCCGGCGTCCCACCTTCTCAACATCCCTTGATGCCCGAAGGACCGATTGCACATTAAACCCATTGAAGACTTTTGCACGTAGCCTATCAACCCTTCAGTCATCTGTCACTAGAACCGGTGTTGGTTTCAAATCGCAGGGGCGGCTTTTTAAACTTTAAGAATGCTTGAAAGCAGACGCGGAGCACTGTGCATTTATGCAAGCAGTTGGGGGGGGGGGCAGACCCAGCCAAACCAGATATGACTTAGGAAGCAAGTGTTTCCAGAACACAGCAAGCAGGGGGTTGTTGCTATGGGGGTGGGGGCAGGTTGCTCCCCCAGCGACACCCATGATCAGGTCAACTGACGTTTGTAGGTTTCCAGACACGGTTCACAAATGTACTGGATCGTCAAGCATAACAGAAACCTCAGTCGGTGAACCGTCGCCAAAAATTCCTGCAAAGTGGAATTAAAAAGAAACCACAACACTAGGCTTAGAATGTAGCACTTTGGGGAAAGGAAAAAGAACTCTCCACAACCTACAGCTCCTGGTCTCATAAAGGTTTCATTGCAAGCAATATATTTTCAAAGGCGGCATGCAAGTCAGGTGTTGAGATGGCAATATTGGGATGGGATTTTTTTATTAAAAAAGTAGAGGTGCCATTAAAAATATTAACTGTTTGACATTTTAAGAAAAATGCTTAGCGGTCTCTTTTGTTCCCTTCTGTGATGTGTTGGTTTAAAGGAGGGATGTGACTCTCGTTGGGGGGGGGGGAGAGAGAGAGATTGTGGATGCTCACAGGTCAATAACACAGCAAGTCGTCTATGGAGAACACAGATCTATTCCTAGCAAATAAAGGCAAGTTTGAAGTGGTTGCTCACAGGTCAACAGCACAGGAAGTCATCTGTGCTGAATGCAGATCTATTTCTAGTCCATGCTAGGTAAGTCTGATGTGTCAAAGACTTTTCTCCAGCTGTTGTTTTTTTTTAATTAAAAAAATGCCAAGGAAAATAAAAGCCAGCCTTTGCTTTCTCAACACAACACACACATAGAGAGAGTCACACTTTCTACTGCCTTTTACAAGCTTTGCAGTACAAGCAGTGACTGGGGAAAGTCAAAAGTTGGCCCATTTGCTAGTGTTTTACTCTAAGGAAACGGTTCTCCCTTCCGGATATAAAGGCAAATCGAGCAAGCATATTATCCGGCCACCTTCCTCTCGCCCCTGGAACCTCTCTCCTTGCGAAGTACAGTCAGGACAACATGCAGGGTTAGGGGGGAGAGAAGTACCCCCAAAAGGCACAAGACCCTCGGGGTATGTTGGACACCCCAGGGGATCCCTTAAGGTGGCGATACTTTAAAGGGGTCCCGGTGCCACACAATCCTCTAAAGGGGGCATCCCAGGACTTATTGCAAGGAGATGGGTAAATGTTTGGGCGCCCCTCTTGAACTGTGAGCCAAAGCAATATCTCCTGAAAACCCCTTTTCAGAGAGTTTCAACCATAAAGTACTTCATCATCTTCATCTTCATCACCGGACAGGACAAAGAGTGTGGTCTCTGGCTTGTATCCTCTTTTCAAATCATACACATACAAACATATGTATTCGGAAGCGAAATGAGGGAGACAGCTAACCGGTCCTTCCGCCTTATTTCCCCAGAAACACGTTTGCAAGCCTTCGGCAACACACAAGTCTCAGGCTGCGATTCTACACACTCCTACGTGGGAGTAAGCCCCGCTGAATTCAATGGGGCTTACTTCCGAGTAGACGCACTTAGGGTTGCACGGCCAACCACCACCGCCGACGGGAAAGTGGACAAAAAAGGGGGAAAGGGACCGAGGAAACGCAGATTCAAGCCAAACCGCAAAGGTCTCCAAAATATATCATCTGGGATAGCTGAAAAGCGTCAGATCTGCCGCAGTTTAAAAAGAGTTGGGGGGGATGCCCGGGATATTTGAGGAGGGGGTTGAGATTGAGGGTTGCACTGAACTCCCCTTAGCCCCAGTGCCTTCTCTAGTCAGCCCAATCCGGAGCTCTCGGGGACCTTAAATCACTTTAGGCAGGACCGAAAGCGAGAGCAGGCAGGGAAAGGGGAGGAAGTTTTCCCGGTGGCTCGTTTTACAGCCTCTTCCCGAGCAGGAATTTAAACACACACAACGCCCGCCCGCCTGCCCCAGCTCTCCAAAAACAACAGCAGCCCGCCACCCTCTTCCCTGGACCATGAACGCCGACGAGGAAATGCGCCACCAGGCAAACAGGTCCGTTTCAAACTCCGGTTTGCCGCCGCCTCCCAAGCGCTGAGAACCCGCCGGCTCGTTCCTTGCGAGACGCCTCCGAAGTTAGCGGGAGAAGGCAGGCAGGCAGGCAGGCAGGCAGGCAAAGCAGCGAGGGAGGAGAGCGAAAGCACAAGTTGAGCAACGCAAGTAATGCGCGCAAAGCTCCCGCGAAGCGCCTAGCCAAACTCTCCAAGAAAACAGGCTGCGAAACGCAGCGGCGGCCGGAGGGAGCGAGCGGGGCGGAGAAGGGGGCTGCGGGGAGGAAGGGTTCGAGGGTCTCGGGGTGCTGACCTGTAGGCGTCTCGGTCTCCAAAGAGCAGATCTGGAAGGTTAACATGAAGATCAAAGCCCGGGTGTTCTGCATGTTGTACGAGAGCAGAAAGCCACCCTCCCAAAAAGTTCTTTTCTTCCTCTCTCTTCCAAGCTTCTTGGCGTCCCTCACTCCCTTCTCTCTTTTCTTCCCCTGCTCCTCTTCCTCTCTTTAAATAATTTATATAAAAAAAGAATTATTCTTCTGCCAAAGCTCAGCAGAAGCTTTTTCTCAGAGGCGCGCCGGAAAGTTGCCGAGAGAAGCCATTGATTCCCCCAGTTCCAGCTGAAATAGCAGGAGCCTGATTGGAACCGAAAACCTTCGTCCCCAAAAAAGAGAGAGAGAGAGAGAGAGAGAGAAGGGGGGGTGAGCAGCACCGAACTGACGTCAGGCTTCCAGGGAAGGGAAGAGAAGAAAAAAGTGCAGGGGGGGGGAGGGAGAGGAGGAGAGAAACGACGGCTCTGAACGGGAGGCGAAGGCTAGGATTGGAAAGGCAGAGGATGCCGCCTGCTGGTCGAAGTGGGGAAGGGCAGGCAGAAGAGCAAGCGAGGGGGGGCGGGGGCGCAAAGCAGGAATGCAATTCGGAGCCGCTGTTATGTACGTATCTATAAGGCAAGCGCGCGCGCGTGTGTGTGTGTGTGTGTGTGTGTGTGTGAGAGAGAGAGAGAGAGAGAGAGAGAGAGAGAGAGAGAGAGAGAGAGAGAGAGAGAATAAATAGGGCAGCAACTTATATTGAGAATAGAAGAAGAGCTCTGCAGGATCAGGCCCTAAGCCAATGGAGTCCAGCATCCTGTTCTCACAGTGGCCAACCAGATACCTGTAGGAAACCCATAATCAGGATTCGAGCACATGGGCGCCCCCCCTCTAACTATGGTTTCCAGCAACAGTTATTCATTTCTGTCCATGCATACCCTGTGGTTCCCAGCGTGGCGCTCACACCCCACAGGGGAGCAATTTGGTTTTTAAGGGAGGGGCAATTCGAGAATGAGTTATTAACAGTGAATGGCCTGTTAGGCTTCCTCCACACGAACAGGAATTCACTTTTTGAATAATAAGAATTATATGTCACTGGGCGGGGGGTGGGGCATCCGGATTTTAGAGATGCTTAGGTGGGGCATGGCCAAAGAAAGGTTGGGTACCACTGCCCTAACCCCTTTGCATATGGCGTGGTAATGTCCTGAGTGGCCGTAAGTGCAGATTTCTGGGTTTGGTTTGTGTGTTAATCTATCAATCGATTAGTTATGTATTTGTTTTCATCGCTGATGTCGTTTTGCCATTATCCTATGGTCTGTAGATGGCCCTGGGCTCTGTTTGAGTGAGGGAAATGCATAAGCACATCAGAAGCGGGGAAGAAGAGGAACGACCAGCCTGAGATATTGGGATGAAGGGCAGCATAATAAATGTAATAATTAAGTAAGAGAGGGAGAGACATCACCTTGCCAACAAAGGTCCGTATAGTAAAAGCTATGGTTTTCTCAGTAATAATGTATGGAAGTGAGAGCTGGACCTTAAAGAAGGCTGATCACCGAAGAATTGATGCTTTTGAATTATGGTGCTGGAGGAGACTCTTGATAGTTCCATGGATTGCAAGAAGATCAAACCTATCCATTCTTCAGGAAATCAGCCCTGAGTGCTCACTGGAAGGACAGGTCATGAAGCTGAGGCTCCAATACTTTGGCCACCTCATGAGAAGAGAAGACTCCCTGGAAAAGACCCTGATGTTGGGAAAGATGGAGGGCACAAGGAGAAGGGGACGACAGAGAACAAGATGGTTGGACAGTGTTCTCAAAGCGACTAACATGAGTTTGATCAAACTGCGGGAGGCAGTGGAAGACAGGAGTGCCTGGTGTGCTCTGGTCCATGGGGTCACGAAGAGTCGGACACGACTAAACGACTAAACAACAACAACAAGAGAGGGAGAAATGACTTAGATTAATCCCAGCCTGGGTCGAAGACAGTGGGCGCTGGAGTCGAAAAAAACATCTGGTGGGCCACAGATCCTCCCTCTCTAAGACAGAGAGAGGAAAAAGCAAGTTGTTGTTGTTGTTTTAATTCAGTGGGGCAAACCTTTGAGCAGACATACGGCAAGCCCTGTTGGATTGAGCAAAATCTAGCATCCTGTTCTCACAGCAGCCAGTCAGATCCCACTATGGCAGTGATGGCCAAACTTGGCCCTCCAGCTGTTTTGGGACTACAGTTCCCATCATCCCTGACCACTGGTCCTGTTGGCTAGGGGTGATGGGAGTTGTAGTCCCAAAACAGCTGGAGGAAGGGCCAAGTTTGGCCATCACTGTGCTATGGGAAGCTTGCAAGCAGGACATGAATGCAGCAGCGCTTTCCCTCATAGCTGCTCTGCTCTTCCATGCCTAGGATAAAATGCACCCTGGAGTCATTTTAGGGTGAAGTCAGATCGATTCAAAAGTGTGGCGAAGGTGGTTTCAGCACACATCCGCCGCGTTTGAAAACACTGGCTTTTTCAGGGCAAAGAATGTCTCTGTGCACGTCTAGACCACTTCCCCCCACGGGAAGAGACCGGACATCTGACTTTGCTTTCACCGCGCAACAGGTTCCACTTCTGCTCTGCCACCACCGGAAAACCCTGCAGCATGAAAAAGGCTGTGGAGGTGCATTGCTAGAGGAGCAGAGGACAAAGAGGGTTTTCAATGCAGGGCTATAGATGCTGTCTCAGGGCATGGTCTGAAGATCCCAGATGCGGTGATCTTGCTGAAGCTGAGTGGGTGCAGGTCTGGCCAGCTGTTGGATGGGAGACTGCTCAAAACCCCCGCAAGTGTTGCCTTGATATCTTCTTGGGTGACAAGGGTGGCATAGAGAAAGGATAATATAACTAAGTAAAAGCAGGGCTCTGTTTGGTCACATTAAAAGTCCATCTAGGGACGCGGGTGGCGCTGTGGGTTAAACCACAGAGCCTTGGGCTTGCCGATCAGAAGGTCGGCGGTTCGAATCCCCATGACGGGGTGAGCTCCTGTTGCTCGGTCCCAGCTCCTGCCAACCTAGCAGTTCGAAAGCACGCCAAAGTGCAAGTAGATAAATAGGAACCGCTCCAGCGGGATGGTAAACGGTGTTTCCGTGAGCTGCTCTGGTTCACCAGAAGCGGCTTAGTCATGCTGGCCACATGACCCGGAAGCTGTACGCCGGCTCCCTAGGCCAATAAAGCGAGATGAGCGCTGCAACCCCAGGGTCAGCCACGACTGGACCTAATGGTCAGGGGTCCCTTTACCTTTAATCCAGGAAACAACAGCACGTAGTTAAACTAAGGAACCTTGTGTGGTGGTGATGGATCTGCACGTAAATTCCTACAGAATTAGAAATCTGCATTAGAGCAAGAAGGAAATGGAAGACAGGGTGGGGTTCTTAGTACAGATACAGCTTCAAACACTTTGCGAGCATCACCATTTTAAACATATATTTAAATCTATATAAAATTGTAGACTATATAACTCTGGTTGGTTTGTTTTTGAGTGATCCTTGGACCATCAGTGATCCACAAGCTCTATTCGGTGGTGTGTTTGAAGACTGGAGACAGCACATTGACTATTCATATTAATTTTTCATGGTATCTTTATTCCTTCTTTTGTTTCATATGTTGTATTTTATTGTAATAATCTGAATTCTTTGGAATGACAATTGCTACAACAGGCAGAAAAATCATTAAGTGGTCTGCTGAGACCCTCGGCAATTTCCACTGGTCCATGGGGGGGAAAGATTATAATTCACAAAATACAGATTTATAATGTCTCAAATGATGCATTTCTCAAACATATATTATCCTAAAATACTTCTTTTTTAAAAACACATTTTGATATGTTGTTTGAGTAGAGGAATGTATCGCAAAAAATAGAGAAGTGAAATATCTGAAGTCTAATTGCATTCTGATCTGGAAGGTGAAAATGAGCTCAGTTCTGTGGTTGGCACCAGAGGAGGGGAAAGGAGGCAAGTGACCTCCCAAACAAGGAGCTTTCCCTCCCCCCCTCCAATTGCTGTACTCTCCCACCTAGAAATACACTTTGCCCCTTCTGTGCCCCCACACCCAAAAATCTCCTGGTGCTCTGACTTCTCAGTTCGCTTAAAAATGTAGAGCATTTCTACATGCCCTCCAACATTCCGCAGATGAAAAGGGAACATTTATCATTTCCCTTCTCATTCCCCCTGCAACTGAGCCTCCTTGACCCCCATTTTTTGTTCTCTCACCCCCCCCCCAAAAAAAGAGTGCTTCTTATCAGAAGAAGGGCAAGTGCCACCATCACTTCACCAAGGGACACAAAACACACAAGCTCCACTGTCCTGAAAAACACACGCCCTTAATTCCTATTTTATTTAAATTTATTCTTTGGTCGATGTACAAAAAGAAAAACATGCACCAGTGAATAAATTTTAGAAAGGGGCAAGATTAGACACAGATGCACAAAGCATTTTAAAAAACTAAATAAATTGAGACTCGTTGCCCTCTGCTCCCCCTTTCTTCCTGCCCAGGGTAGCGCTGCCCTCTGCCTGCCCCCCAGAGCCGGCATGTCATGTGAGTCTGGGCCTTGGCAAAGGCAGCCTCTTCTCTTCCTCAACCGCTCTCCAGAAGCCACTATGAGCTGCCCAAGAGAGGAGGTTGGCGGTAGCAGCCATGGAGAGGCAACAGGATGCTGCCTCACAGCCACAACTAAGAGCAAGTGGTGGCTCAACCTTCTCCCCGAGTTTGGCAGCACCAGCACTGGTGGGGGAAGTAGGGGCATTCCACAATCAAATCAGAAGCCAGTATGGCTTTCTTAACTGCAGGACAGTCCCTGGAAAATAGGGAGAATTGGAGACTATGTCCCTAGCCATAATGTATCTTCAGTTGGAAACTGGCTGATTTTAGCATTCATGCTATGGAAGTCATTCGTGAGCATGCAGAGACTTAAAGAGGTTCTTAACGTAATTGGGAAGCAAGAATCCCACTTGGAGACTACAGTGGTACCTCGGGTTAAGAACTTAATTCGTTCTGGAGGTCCGTTCTTAACCTGAAACTGTTCTTAACCTGAAACACCACTTTAGCTAATGGGGCCTCCCGCTGCTGCGCGATTTCTGTTCTCATCCTGAAGCAAAGTTCTTAACCTGAGGTACTATTTCTGGGTTAGCGGAGTCTGTAACCTGAAGCGTCTGTAAGCCAAGGTACCACTGTATGTCCCTAGCCATAATGTATGTTCAGTTGGAAACTGGCTGATTTTAGCATTCATGCTATGGAAGTCACTCGTGAGTCCGCAGAGACTTAAAGAGGTTCTTAGCATAATTTGGAAGCAAGAATCCCACCTGGTGTCTTATGTTAGGATATTTCCGTTCCACCTTAAAAGGGAGCAGGCTTTGTGAGTCACAGAGTCTGCGTATTTCCTGCTCACAG